ATTTCTTGCTTTCTGTCTCTTTCTGGTGAGTGCACATGCCCTAGAGCAAAAACTTCTCAAAAAAAAAAAAAAGCAAATGCATTTCATAGCTTTTTTTTTCAGCCTTTGCTTTGCATTTTAGTGAGACTCTTTTACAGAACTCAACTTAGAGTTGGTACCTTGCCAAGGGTTTGCTTGGAGAATTTGTAGACTAGCAGCAGCAGCTCTGCTGATTCTCAAATCTGTCATTTCACTGCTAACCTCTGCCCCCGAAGCCCCACTTGTCCAGGGCCTCAGAGCATCTGATGCTGCCTTCTTTCTAAGTCTGGAACCCTGAGTTAGTTAACTGTTCCTAGCTTTAGGAATTATCTTTTTATTGTTCTTGACTACGTTTTGGGCACCAAGCCCAAAGTCTTAGGCTAGCCAAAGCAAATTTCAGAAGCCTAAATCCAAAAAATAGAGTCTAAAAGGAGTAAGGAGATTCAGTGGATAGATTAATTTACTGTCTCTCTCCCGCCTGAATCTTCTACCCCTACCACAAAATAATTTAAAGCCCAACAAGGAGGTTCTGTTCTTATTAGAGAGCTTAATGACATGCTACACTTGTGCCTTTTGAGATAAGCATGATTTTTTCCTTTTAAAAATGAAGCATCGGCACTGGCTGGTAGAGCACACACTTCCTGGCAAATACATTGACTCCCACAAACCACCTTTCTTTGTACACTGGGTTCAGACCATGGTGTCCATTTGGAGCTGTGGCATAGTCTTGCAGCCTGTGAGCCCACAGCTCAGTGTGGATGGTGTTGTCAGTACAGTAGTGCTGTTTATGCCACCATGGTTTCTAATTTAATTCAACTTAATTTTAAAAAGTGTTTAATTGCCATGGGTGGGTACACTCATCAGAGAAAAAGAGAGAGAGTGGTGGCAGGAAAGAGAGAACCTCCCAGCAGGGTATAGTCACACTACAATTCCTTTCTCCATTTCCCCATTCTGTCAAGATTTTCAGCTCCCTTCCTACTAGCTATCACCAAATTTAATTTTTAAAGTTTATTTCTTCTGGGCCAGTTCCATGGCTGAAGGTTAAGACTGTCGAATCCACGTGGCTAGATGCACAGTTCAACTTATAGGCCACGTGGCTTGAAAAACACACGGGCATGTGTGCATGCATGCCTAAAATTCTGACAGGAAGGAGAGACAGAGGAGAAGGTTGCAGTCTGACCATTCCCCATGGCTGATGCTTTTTCTCTGTCTCTAGCAAGTGCATATACCCTCTAGCAAAAAAAAAAAAAAATTTATTTTTATATGAGCAAGAGAGTCAGAGAGAACCAACACCCTTCATAGGGTCTGCCACGATTCACCCCAGCTTCAGCTAGCCCTAGGTCATGGGCATGCATGTACCCAGTGTCCTCAAGGAGCTCTCCAAACATAAACCTGGAACCTTCCCATGTGAGTCATGGTGCAGAGCACTGTTTTACTGCTGCACCACCATCCAGTCCCTTTTCTTTTTCCTTTGGGTGGAGTATTTGGCCTTCACTCTTAAGTATTCACTTCTTTTGTCAGCTAATAGTTTCCATTTTGGTCTTGACTTTATTGAGTCAGAGGTACAGTCATGCGCTGCATAACAGGATTTCGGTCAACAGTGGTCCCATAGGATTATAGCAGGATATACCACGTAGCCTCAGTGTGTAGTAGGCGGTGCTAGCTCAGTTTCTGTAAGTGCACTCTGTTGTGTTCATGTGACGACAGACTCGCCTAATGAGGTGTTTCTGAGGATGTATCCCTGGTGATGCATGGCTGTACGTGGTTCTTTTCACCATGATTAGTCCACTCCTCACTAAAAATAGAATAATAATAAGCCAGAATGCCATAAACTATTCAATGATTAGGAGAACAAGTAGGGATTTTTTTTAAACTTTAGGGCACACGAACTTGCTGAAGAGAGACATAGAAAGAGAGAGAAATCCCCCACCTCCCAGGAGGAATGGCCATACCACTATCCCTTCTTTTCTATCCTCCTCTTGGGACTTTAGGCATGCATCCAAATTCACTTTGTGATTTTTCAAGCCACTGGGTCTGGAATTTGAACCACTTAGCCATGTGGGATCTAGCTGCCTTAACCTCCATGCTACTAGCTACAAGTAGGGTCTTTACAATTGCTTTCAGCCAGTTAAGATGGTAAACCCCATCAGTGTGTTGTTTGAATTTCCACACTTGATGTTGGGAGCTTTCAAGAATGTATTATACTGGGAACCAGCAGTTAGCGTCACGGCTATGTCGCTGGACTCCCACGTACTCGACCGCAGTTCGCGTCCCGGACCCGGTGGCTTAAAACTCACGCCGGGCACATATGCCTGCGTGCCCAAGATCTCAAGAGGATAATGGAGGAGAAGGGATTGCGGCATGACCATCCCCCCGGGGGGTGATTTCTCGCTTTCTGTCTCTCTGTCTCTCTCTGTCTGTCTGGCGAGCGCACGCACCCTGTAGCAAAAAACCTCTCAAAAAAAAACAAAAAAGAATGTATTATACTAAAAAGTGATGTAGTTAGATAATAAAAAAGAAAAAATTGGGGCCAGCAAGAGGCGTGGTGGTTAAGGGCTCTGGACTGCCACGTGGCCGACCATGGTTCTGGTCCTAGACCTGGCGGCTTGCTTTCTCTCTTTGTTGCTCTTGCTCTGTTCCTCTTTGGTCAAATAAAAATAAACATAAATAAATAAAGTTAAATAAAATAATTCTTTAAAAAAATGAAATATCACTAACATTAAAAATTTCTTTTGGGCCAGTGCCCTAGTACATGGTTAGGTGTTGTGTGGAGGGAACCAGATCTCACATAGCTGCCTGGAGTCTTGGGAAGCACTCTGTGGGCGTGTGTGTATGCATGCCTAGGATTCTGTTTGGAAGGAGGAATGGAAGAAAGAAGATTGTGGTGTGACCAGGTGCTACTGTAGAATGCTCACTCGTGTGCTCCCTGGCTTGTGGACTCCTCACACTATAAAAAGAGAAAAGATTCTTTTTGAAAATATAATTACACATGGTTACCCTGGGAATATGAAGGAGCTAAGAATAATAGAGATAGAACTCTTAAATTTTTTTTTTTTAAGAGAGATTTTTGCTATAGGGTGTGTGTCCTCACTGGAGATACACAGCAAGAGAGAAATTGAGAAATCACCCTTCAAGAGGTTGGCCATGCTGCAGTCCCTTCTCCATTCTCCACGGGATTTGGGGCATCATGCATGACACTCATGCTCCTGGCATGAGTTTCAAGGCACCAGGTCTGGGACTTGAATCACAATCAGCCATGTGGGAGTCCAGCGCCCCAACCACTATGCATCCCGCTGGCCCCAGAGATAGAAATCTTTGAGGGGCCAGTTATTGACAGAGTAGAGATGCAACTGTACCCACATGGGCAAGGTTCTGGGTTTGTGTCCTGGCACCTCTCTGACACAGTAGCGCATGCCTGTGATCTTCACTGCCTGTAACTGGGGCCTGATCGTGGCTTAAAGTTCCTATTGGAGATGCCTCCAACCAGAAAAATAAATGAAATAAGTGAACAGCTTAAAATGGCCTTTGAGAGTAAGAAGTGAATAAATAGGACCAGCAAATGGCATAATGGTTATGTCACTGGATTCCCATGTAGCCAGCCGCAGATCAAGTCCTGGATACAATGACTTAAAACTCACACAAGGCACGTTTGTGTGCATGCCTCAGATCCCAAGAGGAAATCTCCCCTTGGGGTGATTTCTCTCTTTCTGTC